TCAAACTGCTGAAATCAAAATTCAACTGTTTGTAGAGGATCTCTTGTGTATTAAGAGGAAAACTTGAATACAGGAGTTTTCAGGTAAAGTGGGGAAACTTTACAAACTAATGCAATATCAGTGCAGGAGTCAAAGAAATGTTGTTTCCATGGTTGATGGGGGGAATGACTTCTTTATAGCACTGTTCTGAAAAACCTGTGAGTGGAAAATTTGGAAAAGCGGCTCACAAGAAAAGATTCAAGATGACTGATATTTCATCTTGAAGCTGCCTGGAGGATGGAACAAGCTTCTCCTGCTCCAGAAGCTAGCACTCGAACCAATGGACTCAAGTTACACAAAAGGAGATTCCAAGTAAACAACAGGAATAACTTTCTGACAGTAAGAGCTGTTCAACAGTAGAACAGACTCCCAAGATAAGTGGCGGACTCTCCTTCCTTGGAGGTTTTCAAGCAGAGAGTGGATAGCCACCTGTCATGTATGATCTAGCTGAGATTCCTGCATTGCAGGGGGTTGGACTAGAGGACCCTGGGGTCTCTTCCAACTCTACAATTCTATGATCTATCTCCCTGTGTAAACTTCCAATCTATATTGCATCTTCCTCTACCTGGTTTGGGTAAAATAATAATATTAAATCAATATTCTCAGAATTTAGGACTCCATGTAGTTTTACCCTGAGAGATTATTGAACACACATAAATTTTCATCTCTGCCACTCACAACCTAAATTAAAGTTTCTTCATAATATCTATGCTGATTCTATGCTTCTACTAACACCAGCATAACCTAGCCATGCTCTTATTCTCCTCCAACAGAAAAGAGTGCAAAAAAACAGAAAACTACAGGAATGCCAATATCATACCTGACAACTAGGTTGCCATGCACCTATCATGATGATGTGACAACAGGAACATCATAATAATGGCACTGAACCCAATCCGTGTATCCTCTCATATGTGCTGCAGAAGCAAATGCAGACATGTAGTTTGACCCTCAGTCCTCAATTTCCTAAATTATTTTGACCTTTAAAAGCAGCAGTAGAGACAGACATAGTAGGAGCTAGATGCCGGCGTATTTGATTATAACTGACATGATGAGTATCAGTGAGCTCATCTTCCCTGTCACCAGCAGGAAAAATTCAACTATTTACCATTAAGAGTGTCTTTTGAACACTTCTTCCACCCAGAACTGTTTACATCCACTGGGGCAGGGTGGAAGCCTTTGATTGTAAACCCATCAGCAGTACTGCAGTCATTAGAATTTTTATTTTCCAGCATGAAACAGAATGTGGGTCAGCTTGAAGGCAAAGATGACAACTTCTACTGTGAACTTCCAGTTAATCAGAGCAGTGCCGTTTTGAGAGCCTTAAGCAGATGGTTTTCACAGAGTGCTATTACAGTAATGGCAACAGAACTGATGTGTGCTCCAGTTCAAAAATAAGCAACATGACAAAGTAACTATAGAAACTGGATCTAAAACTTGATCCTGACTTGTTTTGACTAAATCATAGCTTAAACAAACCAGTCTCCAAAGTCTGGAGTTGTGGTTTGTTTACAAGTGGAAGCAGATACATTTGAACTTTCCGTGGCCATCAGCAACAGTCCTCAATGTGGCTACAATTAAGATTTATTTTTCCCCCTGATACAATTAAAGAAGTGTTCTTGTACAGCCCCACTGGTAGGTCCTGTGCACCATATCCATATGCTAAAAGGCCCACTTGGGTGGCTGAAGAATCAGATCATTTTAGCCCAGTTTGCATTTTTGTTCTGTTGGCAGGTAAGTCAGATTTGGCTGGCTGTGCCCCACTGGGCAAACACAGGGTCCCACTTTAGCTTCTGGGGTGCATGCCACTGACAACATTGCACCTATCAAAGCAGATTTATAGGACTGGACTATAAATAATCTGTAGTCTATGTTTCTATAGAAAAGAGCTTATTTGTCCACATACGGCACAATACAAAAAAGGCATGCTTCCATCCCAGTGAGACCCATTAGTTTCCAAGAAATGCAATGTGGCTCCTTTAACTTAGTCTGCATGGTGACCATTTGACTTTAAAGCTGGTAATATATGGAAACTGTACAGATAAATATCTACCTTCTTAGAACAACCTCAGTGTTCATAGCAATTGCATGAGCTGTATTAAGATGGTGACTTTTACAATAATAACTAAACAGCTGTACATGTCCCCAAAAGACGACAATCACTGATGGCAGGTATTAAGAGGTTATTGAAATACACATTCTCTTCAAAGGGAAGTACTTCTTCACACAACACATGATTGGAATTTGCTCTCACAAGATATGATGATGGGCATCAGCTTAGACAACTCCATGGAGGTTAAGGCTATCGGTGACTGTTGGGTTCATCCATACTTCTGCTTGTGTTGTGCCTGGAAAGCATAGGTCCAAGCGGTTTCCCCCATGCCCTTGCTCCTTTCCAAGGGAAAACCTGCTATTTAGTGATAGATCAGAACAAATGTCAATCCAAGGAAAACCTAAATTGCTGTTTGCTTTGATTGAGTGCTAAAGAATGGGAAAGCAGTGGGACAAGAGGAAGCACAAATAAACCTTTAGACATGATGTTATGTCATACCTCCAGCATCAGAAGCAATTATAGTGGAAGAGTGCCATTGCCCTGCTTGTGAGCTTCCCAGAGGTATCTGGCAGCCACTTTGAGAAACAAGATGCTGGACTAAACAGGCCTTTGAGCTGATCCAACTGGGCTTTCTAGTGTTCCAATGTATCCCTCACATTGTTCCAAACAGTTATTTTCATACTGGGCCCAAACTGTAGAATGGTATGGAATGTATTAGGCAAATCTGAAGGGGGAAAATGACTTTCCATTACATGTATCCAGTGTTTTGGGCCATCCATGATTCTTCTGCTGAAGTGAATTTTTCCCAGGCAGGATTGTAGTTCTGGAAAAGGAAGCACCTGAGAATTAATTTCTCTTACCAAAAATTCATTGGTTACAAGTGGTGCCCAAGTGAAGCAGTTCTTCTGTTCTGAGGCACCTAGGAGGAAACTTTCCAATTATTTTCTTATAAGGGTCAGTGGAAGATAATAGGAATTATATATTTAGGCAGCACCAGAGAGTAGCCAGCCTCCAAAAAAGATGTCTCTGGGAGTTTGTCATCATTACTAATGCAGAATCCTATCAGGAGTAGATCACTCAGTGAGGCCCTTTCTATCTGTGTACCATTAACTCTGACTTCACAGACACACATCAATGTGTGCTTTTTCTGTGTGTAAACATCTGACTCCATATCACTTTGTAAACAGACAAATCTGCAGCTGATGAATTAGGCTCTTGTCTGTGAAGCCTCATGCCACATGTGTTAGTCTTTAAGACATCATAACAGACAGCAATGGTAGTGCAGCTGTTCCGCTAGAATTTAACACTACATCTGATTCTCACAGTATGTATGTCCACCGAGGGACTGCACAGCTTTCTTTGCTGTGCTATGCATCTGGGCTGTGTACAAATGTATCTACCTATATTCAATGTGTGTGTGTGTGTGCAAAAGTGTGTCCAAGATGTGTGTGATTTCTCCACCCACACCTGGTTCTCCATCTCTTCCTTTTCAGCTTATGCCATAATAAAACACCTTAGTGTTTAAGGTGCCACAAGGCTCCCTGTTGGTTTTCCTCAAAGCTGCCAACACATCATGGCTTGTGTGCAGGTATGTATATATAAAGATCTGATCCACTGGGATTTGTTATGCACATGTAATCACATCTGGTGTTTGAGGAGGAGAGAGCTTTCCTCCTAAGTGTGCTTTGTAGATTCACTTGGGTCCTCTTGGGGCTATTTCTGCTCTTTTATAAGCATAACTGGTTATGCTGCTTTGCAGTGTTCATTACCGCTCTCTGCATGTGGCATTTTCCGCAGTCTGCATGATGTGAGTTACTTGATCCGTTGGTGCTGAAGTGTCACAGGTGGATTTGTTGGCAAGGACAACCACCTGGGATTCTTTGATCCACATGGTTTTGCTTCCTTCCAAGTTGTTTCTAGTTGGCATGACATATGGTCTAGTATCCACCTACAGGGAGTATCTAATTTTCCTTCTTCCTTCCTCCACAGCTTGTGTGGCCCACTTTCTTGGTTCATCTCAGGTTATCCGTGCTGTGCCTTGTTTGCTCCTGCATGAGGGACACTGTGGTATCTGACATTATGTGTTATTCAGAAGGGCAGTGGTACAGCTAGGGCTGAGTCTTAGGATAAAATGTAGGCCTCCCCAGCTTGGCATCCTGTGTCTGCACCTAGGCTGGCATGAGCATGCCCAGGGTCTTTTGGAACTGCTGATGCTGACTGCATCCTTCCCAAACTTTTTTTTAAAAAAACAACAACATTGTATTGTCTGGGGTTGCAGGTGCTCATTTTATGATTTTTACTTCATCCTTTTCTACAGCAACCCAGCACTTATTCGCAAGTCAGGAGCAAACCTCCACTTTACTATGATTGAAGTGGGTTTAAAGTGGAAAACTGCACATAGACTCTTTCTTTCAAAACGGGGTTGGCAAATTTGTTTGGTTTGTTTGTTACACACTATCCCAGGGGTCTGCAACCCACGGCTCTGGAGCCGCATGTGGCTCTTTTACACCTTTGCCGTGGCTCCGGGGCGGATACTAGCGAGGGGAGGAGGCGCATTGTGCGCCCTGATACTCTCCACTGTGGCGGGCGCTGTACTGGCTGTGACATTGCATGGGGGCGGTACATGCGTTAGTCACGCACCGTCCCGATGTCACCTTCCTGCCCGCTGTCAGATCGCGGCTCCGGAGATATATTTGTTTTAGATGTCGCAATGGTTTTGCGGCTCCCAGGTTTTTTTTCTTCAGAAACAGGTCCAAGTGGCTCTTTTTGTCTTAAAGGTTGCAGACCCCTGCACTATCCTATCAGGTCCAGAAATGTAGAAACAGTCCTAAAACACGGGATTTTTTATTTTACTTTTTTGGAACGGGGGCAGGGGCAGGAGGGAAGAAGTGCTAGTTCTGTTACTCACAACTGGTCACACACAGGTCGTCTGCACGGTGCCATCCCTAGGACGAGGGTCCAGAGTCTGAAAGGCACCACCTCATGACCTGGAAGGGGAGATGGGAATGGCAGAAGCGGGCCGTGCGCGTCCAGGCTCCTTCCAGCTCCCGTGAGTCTTTGCACGTCTCCCCTCAAACTCCGCTCACGCCCTCGCTGTTGCCCAGGGATGCGGCTGGCCTCGGCGTGACCCCTGCCTGCCGCTCTTCCCCTTTTCCCGCCCGCCTGACAACTGCCCCGTCCGCTCGGCGGCGTCTCCTGGCCTCCCCTGGGCGCGCGCCGCTGCGCCCTCGCGCCACCCTCCCGGCCACGCGCGTCTCCCCCTCGCCCCCTCCTCCTCGCGTAGCCCCACCCTCGCCGCCCCTCCCAGCCACCCTCTCCCGCCTCACACTGGAGCCGAGCGTCATTTCAGCCTCGGCGGCGCTGCAGACATGGCGACGACGCTGACAGCCGTCCAGCCGCTCACTTTGGACCGAGGTAAGCGCTCCGCCGCCTCAGGTCCGCCCCGCCTTGCTCGCTGAGGGGCGGGGGGGGTTCCGAGGATGCCTTGTCCGGCCGGGGCCATTGGAGCCCCATTGCTGCTGTTGCCGCTGCTGTTTCCACGAAAGGGTCCTGGGAACCGAGCCATCCTTGAGAGGCTGCCTCGCTTGCCCGCTGCTGCCTTTTGGCCGAAGGAGCCGAGAGCAGGCGGGCAAGCGCGCCAAGGAGGGAGCCGTGACCTCTCTCTTGAACCTTGCGCCGGAGTCAAGCGTCCGGCTTTTGCCGGGCGGGAAAGGGCAGCCGCGAGCCTGGGAGAAGGGCGCCGGCAGCCGAGCTGCTGGGATCAGCTGTGGCTTCCGATGAGCGCGGAGGGAGACTCGAGGCAGCGAGCGAATGGGGCTCGGGGTGGGAGGATGAAAAAGAGGGAAACTTTGTGTGAGCTTCTGCGCCAGTTTGGGAAGACTGGGGAGCCGGATTGCCCCAGGTCATCGGGATCCAGTTGCCTGGAGATCAGGGACTCGCGGGTGTACCTACCTGCACCAAAATGGCAGGTTTCTTAGGAAGAGCCCTGTCGCCAGAAAGAAATGCAAAAGCCCACAGTCCAGAACAGCAATCGGTGTGGAGGAGATTCGCAACTCCACACGTAAGCATGCATTGGAAATGCATTGGGAGGGGGAAGCTACTCATTTGTCACAGTTTGGCCGCACAAGGATTACTAATGTGGTTTGGAGTAATCAGTCTTCATTGCTGTTTACTTATTTCGCTGCATAGCATGGCCGGGAGCTGATTTCTCCTTGCAGTGTACTGATGTATCCACAGCAGTGGTAGAGGAACTGTGGATTACTTTTCGCCCATCGTCACGTCCTCCATCAAGCATCTGCTAGAAAAATAAGCCCTCGCAGGGTGAGAAAAGGCTCGCACGTGTACAGAACCAGAATCAAAGCTGATTTGAAAGCTCTTGTGCTTCTGATCCCAGTCTGTATTGCATTGCGCTGCTATGGTGAAGCTTCTGGTGCCAATTGGCTGAGCTGGTGTGATGCCATGGAATAGCTAAACCCGTTCCCAAACTGTCAGAATGTTTGCAGTCTGGTTCCCGTGAGAAAAGAGAAAGTTGGCAGTTTGGCTGAAATTAAACCCTAATAGAGACCTTAGGAAAGGAAGAGCATGCCAAAAAGCAGGGGGCAGGAATCTGAAACCCTCCTGATGTTGCTGTGCTACAACTCCCTTCAATCCCTGATGATTGGGGAAGATAGGAGTTGAATTCCAGTAATACCTGGAGGGCCACAGGTTCCCCAACCCTGTACTGAGAAATAGAAAACTCACTTGGAGAAGACCCCCAAGATACGGAAACTGAGGAGCAGAGACCCCAGTCAAGGAAAGGGCAGGTAGAAGAGACAACCCTGGGGTGGGGGGAAGTATTGGGGACTGGAGACTATTGTGGAGATAGGCCTGCCAGATCTATAGCCTTAGAGAGACTATACCTTTAAGAATTTCATATAAGGGGGAATTTGTTACCTTGGTTTAATTTAGTTAAACTAACCACTTCATTCCTTCCCTGTAGACTTCTAATTTGATACTACTGCTGTTTATAGTGGGAGCATGGTATATCACTAAAGACAGCTAATTGATTGGTTGTTAGTCAAATTTCTCCCCCACCTTTCCTTCAAAGAAGAAAATTGTTCTTCTTCATTGCACTGAGAATAACCCTGTAAGGTGGGCTAAACTGAGAGATAGCACCTGGCCCAAGCTCACTCACTGAGCTTAATGACTGAGTGGGGATTTAAATATCCTTCCAGTCTAATAACCACTATACCACACTTTCCCCATTTAGCATCTGTTATATTATCACAGTCATCCTTGATGCTGCAGCTGAGGAATTCTGTTGCATTCTTCACTGCTATAATTAAGTTACAAGGCAGAATTACTGAAGTTGCATTTATTTTAAAAACTTAACAAAATAAATGAAGTTTTGTATTGTAAACCTACTGTTAAAAGGTAAAGGGACCCCTGACCATTAGGTCCAGTCGTGACCGACTCTGGGTTTGCGGCACTCATCTCGCTTTATTGGCCGAGAGAGCCGGCGTACAGCTTCCGGGTCATGTGACCAGCATGACTAAGCCGCTTCTGGCGAACCACAGCAGCGTACAGAAACACTGTTTACCTTCCCGCCAGAGTAGTACCTATTTATCTACTTGCACTTTGACGTGCTTTCGAACTGCTAGGTTGGCAGGAGCAGGGACCAAGCAATGGGAGCTCACCCCATCGCGGGGATTCGAACCGCCGACCTTCTGATCGGCAAGTCCTAGGCTCTGTGGTTTAACCCACAGCGCCACCGGCGTCCCAACCTACTGTTACACTGGGGATAAAAAAATGGTTAAATGATAAAATCTTTTAAATACTTTAAAAGATTGACATAGTTCCTAATAGGCATTTGACCTATTGTGCTTACTTGAAATATAGAGGTATTGTGCTTACCTGAAACAGGTAAGAATAATAATTTGCTTTCTTATTTGCTGTTTAACACTACTTATTTGTGCATTCTACTGAATTAAATCAAATAAATTCCATCCACATGGTTTCAGAGTCTTTAAAGCATTTCATTTTTTTTAAATCTTGATCTGTATGGATTAAGCTTCCTAAAGAATTTTAAAGTTTGTACTTGATTTGGGAATGATTAAAGCCAGTGTCTTCATTATAATTGTATGCTCTGTAGAGGATTACAACAGACTCTAAAAACAAGACAGAGAGGTTCCTGCTGTACATTCAATATAAAAAAGATATGTTCAGTCTCCATTTAAAATTTAGACAGTCTCTACTTTGTTGGATTCTGATGAAGAGCAGAGGAATTTATAATATGATGTCCATAATTACATTGCCTAAAATTGATTTCTGAAATGTGTGTTTTATTGCACACAAATCAAACAAAGGAGAGCTTAGATAAAGTGTTAGATAAAGAAAAGGGAGAGCATTGGTTAGGAGGAAGAATGTGTGTTTTCTTCTTTTTAGAAGCTCAGTGTGTAATCTGCAGCTCCACCTCTGTGGTGACCACATTAAGCAGGATAAATATTTCCTGGCAAAAGGCTGAACAGATGGCAATCCATTAGGAAGCACAGCTTTTCAAAGGAAAGTATCACACAACCATGACCCTTATTTATTTCTAAAGGCCAGCAAACTAAAGTTAGATTTAATTACACTTCTGTCGTTTTACACATAGGTTGCAGGTGGAACTTGCATAAGAGTGTATAGAAAAGGTACAGAAATGCCCTTGCTTGGGGTCCCAGTTGGCAAGGCAAGTTATACATAAAACAATGAAAATATTGTTTGGAGGTGGGAGGTAGTATCACCAGTTACATAAATCTGAGAACATACTTGAAAACTCTCACTATTAATAAACTTCAGCATGATAGCTGTATAGGTGAGTCAAAATTTAATTAATACTGATGTTTTACTAAAACAGTCTGAACTTTCCAATGTTTTGAATTTTGCAAATGAAAATGACATTAAATAACATTTAGTAGCAGTGATGATCTGCATGTTTACATAAATGTATAAACAGGCCCTAGTGTTGCCATGCTAATACTCACAGTTTTGACATTGTAGCATACAGTGCTACTTAGGGTAAATAGTAGTTCCCAGACAAACAGCAAGGAAATAGCAAGAAGGCAGAGGCATGCTTCTTAGATTTATACTATCTATTCATATGAAGTATAAAAAACAACAACATTAGCTGCATTAGTAGTAAGGGTGAAAAAATGCCTACTAAATGCTGATGTGGAGGGGAACCAAAATTGCTTTCTTTTCAGCATTTAAGGTGGCCGGGCTGGGGAACTTCTGGTCCTCTGGACGTTGCTGGACTACAGTTCCCATCATCCCTAATGATTGGCCATGCTGGTTGGAACTGATGGGTGTTGGAATCCAACAATGTATGAGGGAGCAGCCACAGATTCCTCATCACAATAATAGAGTAAAAAGTGCAGCCACATATTGGATATGACTGCTTCTGCTACACAGGTGTCCGTCCAGTATCTTTCAAGTACTGGAGTCCTGCAAAAATACCAGATATACCGCTGGTCCACATGGCACAGGATAGAGAGGAGACAGTGAGCAACTGAGAAAAGGTTCTAGCACCAAGGTGATCTCCTTCCCATTCTTCATGCTTCAGCCCAGTTCTCAACTCTACCACTGGGTGTGTATTTATCCTGCATTCCAACTGATGTCTGCATAGGGAAATCTACAGGACAGGGGTAAATATGTTGCCATTTACTCAATCATGCAACAGAGGAGTTGAAAACAGCTCTACCTCCAGTGCTGCTTGATTCCGGGTTCTATTCTTGCACAGGCATAAATACCAGGGGTGGTGGTTTGGTCAGCAGTTGGAGAAGAATCCCTCGTATTTACCAATATGCTCCCTGTAGGGCTTCCCAGTGTACGGTGGGGTAGTATCTGCATTTGAGGATTGTGGCAACAGGGACCTCCTTTATGCAAAACAGTATACTTAGCTATGTCATCTCTTGAATAAAACTGCTTGATTACCATTGAATGAATGATGGCTGTTTTGCTATCATGGCTTTACACTGGCAGGATTTTGTCTTGAGTTAGGATAAGATCTGGACAAAGGGGGTCACTCTTCCAATCCTGCCCTCAGATCCACCCATTTCTTGGCTTTTCAGTGGCCATCGTAATAATTACACTGGCTGAAACACAGTCACTCTGCCATTGTAACCTGTAGCTACTACCAAGTAAGCATGTGCAAGATTGCAGTCTCAATTGCCTGTGCCAGAGTAAATCCCATTGAAATCAATGGGGCGAACTTTGGGGCAGCCAGATAATGCATAGAATTTCTCGCTTAGTTGCAACTCTGTCCTCTGCTAATTTGAGTATAGGAGTGCAGACAGTGTAAAATATTACCAGTCACTAAGATTCCTTTTTCTTGTACTATAGCAAGATAAAATCATGCCTTATTTTTTCATGAACACAAGAGTGACAATTAGATACAT